AAGACAAACTCTCTGTTCAAAAGAAAGTTTTTCTGTCATCTCCACCCTGCAGACAATGAACAGCAGGACGCCGGACCATGACTGACTGTTTACACAAATACACACTGTTACGACTGAAGTTTATTTATTTATTTATTATTGCGAATTGTACTCTGTCTTTTTCTTTGTCCCGCCTTCCTGTTGTTTTTCTGTTATTCCATAGACTCACACCAGCGTGATCCCTTGTTGTGATTGGCTGCTGGTCTCGGAGGCCTGTATATAAGGGAGTTTCCAGCAGGGTTTGGATAGCTCATTTCTGTGCGTTCGGTGATTGGAGTGGAGCTCCTGGGTTTCCCTCACCCCTCCGGCCGACGACCAACAACCAATATTGTACTGATGCTCATCATACGTTAAAATATTTTTGAGAGTTGGAGCATGTAGGGGTGACCTGCCTATTTTTTTTTTATTACTTTTGATTAGAGGTGTGAACCTACACTAGTCTCACGGTTCGGTTACGATTATCATGCCATCGATTCGGTTCAATTCGATATTTCAGTGCATCAAAGTGCATCACGGTGCTTTCCATACACAGTTTTATATTTCTTCACAGCAGCATTTCTTGTATTAAAATGTATGAATATATTTATATTTACATACTATTTGTAATACAATTTTGTCATTTAATACAAAAAGTTAGATATATAAACTGTAACTTTAAATAAAACGAGCATTTAGCAAATAATATAAACAAATATAATACAGCTCAATTTCTGATCCTTGTCTAGTTCTCTTACACCTCTTTGATTGGTCACACCCTCAAAAAAAACGGTTGCGATTGGCTCTTGTGCGCTGCGTTCTTCACAGATGAGTGACACTGATAAGCGGCAGGCGGCAGCAGCGATCTCACAGCTGATGTATGATAGACACGGTGGAGAAAACTCTGCAGACACGTGCTCCTTTCTGGATGCAAAAGTAACACTGTAAAACAGCCGAGAAGAGAAGAAAAGCCACGCCAGCAGGTCAAATGGGCCACTGTGTGTGTGTGTGTGTGTGTGTGTGTGTGTGTGTGAGAGAGAGAAAGAGAGAGAGAGAGAGAGAGAGAGAGAGAGAGAGAGAGAGAGAGAAAGAGAGAGAGACAGAGCGCGCGCAAGAAAGAAAGAGAGAGAAATGGAGTAGGCTACTTTCATTCTCTCGATCTCAGTGAAATAGGGGCTTTTGTTGTATATGTCAGTGAAAGACTGATCCAGCAAACACACACAGTGAAATTGTGCACAGTTTATGAGTTTTAAGTAGTTAGAGCGTTGTAAATACTCGCGATCGCCTCCCTCACGACAGAGCGCATATGAGGTAAATGACGTCAGTAATAACCGGTTATGATTATTACTGAACCCATACCGAATTGTCCGCGTCTGCATCGCAGTGCACCGAAAAAACGATTATTTTTGACACCCCTACTTTTGATTATGTTTAGGGAGCAATGTAAGTTTTTTTTTGTATTTTTTCTTTAAATAGTAATAGGTAATTGAGTGGATTTACTTTATAGATTCTTTTGTTTGTTATTTTGGCCTGTGGTCACCCTGAAGAGTTGCTCAATTATATTAACCCCATTTTTCTATAATAAATCTATTTATATATACTCTCAATTGAGTGTGTGAGTTTGGTTGTCGACCGAAGGGAATCTTTTGCCTTATGTTTTGATTTGTTTGGGAAATCCACCACCCCAACACATTTGTTTTTTCTTCGTTTATTATGCCCTTTTTGTTTCCCCTAGACTTGGGGCGTAATACACACACAGAAACATGCACAAACACACAGACAAAAGCATGCGTACACAAACACACTAGTACAAACACACACACACACATAGACCCATAGCACTAGCATACACAAACACATCAAGGCAATATACACACACACATGGGCACTGGCACATACAATCAGAACAAATATTTTTGCGGCTTGTTCAAACGACTTCATTTAAATGAGCTGAAGCAACAGAATTCTTGAGATTTTTTTTTTGGGACAACTTAAATATTTTAAGCAACTTAAATTTACAAAACAAGAGTTAAATTAAGTTGATTTGTGGGCGGCACAGGTGCTCATTGGTTAGCACCGTTGCCTCACAGCAAGAAGGTTGCTGCATGGTTAGAGCCTCGGCTGGGTCAGTTGGCATTTCTCTGTGGAGTTTGCATGTTCTCCCCGTTTTGGTGTGGGTTTCCTCCGGGTGCTCCGGTTTCCCCCACAGTCCAAACACATGCGCTATAGGTGAATTGAATAAATTAACTTGGCCGTAGTCTATGAGTATGCGTGAATAGCTGCGTCCCAAATGGCACACTATACACTATGCACTCATGCAATATGTACTTACACACTCAACAGCACGTATGTAGTGTCCCAAATGGAGCACTAATGCCTACAAATGCGTATGCGTGATTGTCATCACAGGACAGTGTGGAGGAGAGAGAGATGAGGTAAGATGGCGAGTCGCACACCAAGTGTCCTGCAGTTTGGCAGTATTTCCGCACGATAAGGGAGACGGGGTTTACAAACTAAAGGTCTGCATTCCCGCTGCTGAACGGCGGGAGCCACGAGACCCGACTAGATTTCTTGCGGTGTGGGAATAAACTTCCAAATAAAGCACGGGCGCGCGGTCTAACAATATTGCGGCGAGCGAGCATGCGCGCATGCATGTGGATGCTGTTTATGTGTGTATATGTGTGTGAATGAGAGAGAGCGTGAAGCTGTGTGTCGCTTGGTGCTCTCTCTGTGTGTGCGTGTGTGCATGCGTGCATGTGAATGAGAAAGAGCGTCCCGTGCAGATCTCTAATACGAACAAGACAAACAGGTGACCGCAAACCTGAGCTCGCATATACGGTATTCACTTTCTGAATGGTTTAGGCACAAGCCAACAGTTTGGTGATGCTGTCTGAGCCTTACGTCATAATTGTTTTTATTATGCACGGTAATACCGCATACCGAGGTAAAATAGGGAGGAGGTTTGACTGGATCAAAATTTTGAAAACTGCCCAAGCCTAGTATATACTCAAAGATATTATTGCAAAGCATCCTATAAAAAAAACATTTAAAAGAGAGATCTGTGAGGGGTGGACTTATGATAAGCACTCTAAGCGTTCTGATTTCAATTTTGCATCCTTTATATGTATATCAGCAGTTTATTGCAGCAACTATCCAGTCTCGCACAGACACAACAGACTAGACGCTCTCAGAGATGATGAGTAAATGAGACACTGTCCTTTGTGGACAGTGACCCGCGGAGAGAAGCAAACACACTCGTCTACCTCCAGCAGAAGAGAAAAATAGAGTGTGAAATTGGAGGGGAGTGTGTGAGTCCACCCAAAGAACTATAACAATACATTAAATACTTACATAGACAATTCATGAGGTGCACCTTTTACAAAAACAAATTATTAAATTGTTTATTAAAATAAAAGACTGGACACCTAACATCATCAGGGTAAGAAAAATAATACATTTAAATTCAAATGAGTTGATGCAAAAAATAATATTAGTACTAAACTAAACTAAACTTAAACTAATGTCAAAACAGTTAATCAGATTTACACAAATATCTCACTGTACAGAGTCCACTAAAAGTGACTGATTTAAAAGCAAGACGGCTCATTTATGCTGGGCATTAAGAATGTGTGAGTGTGTATTTATTGGGCTCCAGCAGCTAAAAAAAAAGTGTTGGGCGTCAGATAATATGAACACAGACTTCAAGGAGTGTGTAGAGGAAACAAGCAGACACTGTTTAAACACACAGACACACAGACACACACAGACACACACAGACACACACTGTGTACTTTAGATGAAGGGCAAAAGTAAAGTGGGTCAGTGTGTCTTAGAAGTTGAGGATCAATAGGTGCGTGTGTGTGTGTGTGTGTGTGTGTGTGTGTGTGTGTGTGTGTGTGTGTGTGTGTGTGTGTGTGTTTGAGACTGCACAGTACATTTATGTGAGTGAGTGTGTACATGTACAGTATGAGAGTGTGTGCATGTATGATTTTTGTATGCGAGTATGTGTGTGTATATGCGAGTGTGTATGTGCGTGTATATGCGAGTGTGTATGTGCGTGTGTGTGTGTGTGTGTGTGTGTGTGTGTGTGTGTGTGTGTGTGTGTGTGTGTGTGAGTGTAAGTGAGAGTGTAAGTGAGTGTGTCTCAGTGAGTGCGTACATTTATGTGAATGTGTTTTTGAGGGAGTGTGTATTTGTACGTGTTTGGGTGTGTGTGTGTGTGTGTGTGTGAGTCAGTGTAAGTAAGCATGTACGTTTATGCGCATGTGAGAAAGTGTGTGCGTGTGTAAATGAGTGTGTACATGTATGTGTGTGTTTGGCTGCACTCATGCTTCTGCATGTGTGTGTGTGTGTGTGTGTGTGTGTGTGTGTGTGTGTGTGTGTGTGTGTGTGTGTGAAAGTACATTTATGTGAGTGTGTGTATGTCAGAATGCATGTGTGAGTGTGTATATGTGTGTAAATAAGTGTGTACATATGTGTGTGTTTGGCTGCACTCATGTGCTTCTGCGTGTATGTGTGCGTATGTGTGTGCGTATGTGTGTAAGTGAGCATGTATGTTTATGTGTGTGTGGGGTGGGAGGGAGGGTGTATTCGAACGTGTATATAAGTGAGTGTGTGTATGTGTGGCTGCTTTCATGTGCTTCTGCGTGTGTGTGTGTGTGTGTGTGTAAATGTGCACGTGTGTGAGCGTATGTGTGTGTCTGTCACCCTGTTTTCCCCATAATGTGATTGTGATCTTCTAGTCTCCTCATTATATGTTGACAGCAGGCTCACTCAGCACTCAATCTAACACTTCTGCTTCAGCGCGTTCACATCTCACCTTTGTAATTTGATAAGACTTCACAAAAGCGGGCTATATTTATCTGTGCTTCAGGAGTGCCACACTTTCTGAAGATTATTTGGGGTTATACACATCCAACAAAAGCTTCGAGGTATACAGTAATGGATTTAAGCTAAAGTAGGGTAATTGGATGCTTGGTACTCACTAATACAGCACTTCGTTGGCTTCGTGTCTTTCGTAGCGGACCGTTTCACACATTATCCTGAAACGACACAAAACACAAAACATGAAGCAGAGACAGATCCAAACAAAAAGACTACAAAAGCCATTTGTCCTCTGTGATTATGAAAAAAAAAAAATTGCAGAGAGTTTGCATTGTGAGGCCAAAGATCAAAAACGGATTTCAGGAGGAAAGTTTTACCCTTTAAAATAAGAAAACACAACAAAGTCTGCCCATATCTAAAGGCAGAGTTCAGTGAAAATTACATTTTCTGTCATTAATTACTCACCCTCAAGTTGCTTCAATCCAATAGACTGATTTCACGCGGCCGCCATTTTTAAAAGCGAAATCGAGGCTGTGGTGGGAAGAAACCCGGAAGTATCGTTGGGAGTTACATAGGAACATTGTGTATCTTATCAGCGAATAGAATGTAACAGAAATTTATAATTTCACCACCTTCCGAGTGACCCAAAGGCAGGGCCGGAGCAAGCTGAACTGCCGCTCTAGACAGAGGGCGATCACGCCGCCCTCAACCCCAATGTGAAAACGAAAGTGACCGGTTATGAAAATGAAGTGAGGTGTCGTAGACCTCTTTTCCGGTGCTCTATGCGCGGATATAACTGAGGACGCGCAGGTGCTGAGGGAGGGAGCGAGCGAGGTGTCGCGGACACTGCGCTCTTTATTCTGCCGCCCTATGCGCGGATATAACTGAGGACGCGCAAGTGCTGTGGGAGCGAGCGGGATATTTATATTTGTTTATTTGCTATAAATGCTTGTGTTGTTAATAAACAAAAACTGTTTGTATAAAAGGATAAAATTGTATTACATTATATATATATATATATATATATATATATATATATATATATATATATATATATATATATATATTGTATTATATATTTATCCATTTTAATACAAGAATTGCTGCTTGAAAATATAAAACTGTGTATCGTCAAGCATCGTCAATGCACCGTGATGCAACGAGATATCGTATTGAACTGAATCGATGGCATGATAATCGTAACTTAACTGAACCGAACCGTGAGACCAGTGTAGACTCAAAAAGAGACTCAAAAAGAGAATGATGAGGGTTCTTCCATGTTTCAATTAGTAAAGAACGATTCTAAGATAAATTAAGATATTTTTCAAGACACTTCTATACAGCTTATAGTGATATTATCTATATACAGCTATAAACAAAGATATATTTGAAAATTATTATTATTATTTTCATTATTACTATTATTATTAACGTAACTATAAAATATTAGTCAGCTAATGAAATCATTCTAAATTTTGTTCATTTTAAAATCTAAAAAAATTCTAGAATAGATAATATATTATAATTAATATGAAGGTATACTAAAATAAGTTTGTATTTTAAAGATAAAACTAGACAGCAACTGAATTAAAATGAAAGATTTTAAAATTCAAGTCATGAACATGAATATTTTCTAAATTTGTAAACGGGGCAGTGCGGTGGCGCAGTGGGTAGTGCTGTCGCATCACAGCAAGAAGGTCGCTGGTTCGAGTCTCGGCTGGGCCAGTTGGGATTTCTGTGTGGAGTTTGCATGTTCCCCCCGTGTTGGCGTGGGTTTCCTCCGGGTACTCCAGTGTCCCGCACAAGTCCAAAAAACATGTGCAGTGGTTCATTCCACTGTGGTGACCCCAGATTAATAAAAGGAATAAGCCGAAAAGAAAATGAAATGGAATTTGTAAGCAGTGCTTTTTACATTTTGGGGGAACTAACCCTTTAATGGGTGAATTGTCTCTTTAAGGGCAGCTCAAGGACAACAGCCGAGTGTTTGTGGATGACATATTTCACTGTTGTTTTATGTAGAAGTGCTGCTTAAGCAAACAAAGATGCATTCTCCACCGAACAAAACATTCCAGAGGACAAAAACATTATTCAACAGATATTCCTCAAAGTGTGAGAGGAGAAAAAGTCAAGCGAGTCCATCTGATGCGTTCGGGCCGCTGGAAGGTCAAGGTATGGCCCGGAATGTTCTACAACACCCTGGTCAAGTAGCAAAGTGCTTACTCCCAAAATATACACATGGGTAGAAATATGAGGACGCGAGGGACTTGAGAAGGTAAAGCTATTTAAGAGTTTAGACAACAATGCAGGGAGTCAAAACTGCTATTGCAAAACTAACAGCATTAACTATTCATGACTGCTCACAAACTAGGCCAAAAGAAATCAAAGCAATTCATTCATTCATTTTCGGCTTAGTCCTTCTATTAATCTGGGGTCGCCATAGTGGAATGAACCGCCAACTTATCCAGCTTATATAATATAAGTATACATTTGATACCCCCTATATCGGTGTATGCCACTATGAATGCATTATTGCACCAATCAATGCTAGGAAAAATGTCATTCGACAGTTTGAAACTGGCAGTTCTAGAGTATCGATAGACATCTTAAGTATTTACAAAACACATTTCTCGTAAAGTAGGTGTTTATATCCAATAGTATCTGGATGCAGCCTTTAAGATGCAAGCTGAGGCTGCATCACTCAGCAATGCAATATCAGACACAATGCACTCAAATGGAGCGAGTGATGTCACTGTGATGGGTAGGGTTAGGGGTGGGGTTAGGTAAGCCCATTAAAAATCATTGGATGCAGCCCAGATTGCACTGCACCAGGTCTGCATCCAGATCCCTCTCTTTATATCTGCATGTATCCTAAAAAAACATTAGACAAATTATTTGTATAGTTTGACCAACAGTAACCTCGAAAATTGTCACTAAATATCCATCAAAACACTGGAAATGTATACATTTTATTAACAAATTGGATGTCATTTAAATACATTCAAAAATGTTATTCACTAAAGCATGTATTACCGAAAAAAGTTAATCCCCCCACCCCGATCGTCAATGTATAATTCGCACACTGGCTATAAGTATGACTGAATTACCTGCACACTTGAATTACCAGAATTAGTTTCTCTATACTAAAAATAAAGCTCACCGTTGACTTTTAGAAACCCTCAGAAATGTATTGACTGAGCGAAAAACTAAAAATAAAAACGCACATCTGTCAGACATCTGTATGCATAACCCATAATCCAGCACCTGTTTGGCCTCAAAAACACTGCATTTGTTCCATCTATTTGTCAGAATGTTGAGTTTTACCTCAGCTGGTGTTCGCGGAGGTTGGACAGAGCCTCCATCCCATGCAGGTATGAATAAACGATCTCCAGGTCCTGCAGGTAAAGGAGAGAGAGAGAAAAGATCAAAGACGGTTCATCTTTAAAAACACACGCTTTCCCAGAATCCTCCACGCAGGAGAAGAACACATTCATATAATGTTGAAAAAAAGTTGTTACAAAATGTAAACAATCAAAACAATACAAAAGTTTCCGATATAATCCACACAGATTAATGCATAGCAGAAGAATCATCTTTCAATATAAGGAGTGCACGTTGAGTTTAATTACTTAAATTTAAATTATTCAGGATGACTGTAACACTTAAAAAACAAACACAATTCTGTTCAATAAAAGGTTATAAAAATATATACAATAAACAATAATAAAAAAAAATAATAAAATACATGTAAAAATAATATTTTTAGAAGAAGTTTAGAATATCAAAATGGTGGCTTTCTCAAGAGTATAAGAGTATAGTAATAATCAACACTAGTAATCGTTGATTAAAAAGACAAGTAATAGAGAACCGAATTTTTATCTGAAATTTGACATTAACCAGTTAAACTCTGCTGCTATTTTGGGATTTCTAAAATCCTAAATTAAAAAAAAAAAAAAAAAAAAAACTACATTTAAAAGCTTCCCAAATCCACATAAAGAGGTGTAAATGTAAAAATTTGGTATCATTTTAAAGAAAACCCTTTGAATTTTCATAAAACACTATTGTAAGTGTTTAAAATAACTGTACATGTTGTCTGTGTTATAATAAACACCTAAAAAGCTTTTTGTATTTTTTTTTATAAACTCAAATTTGAAAGTGTACCTTTTAGGTACTGTGTGGTCTAGCGTGCTGTAATTAATGTTGGTGGTTCCTGCACATGTCTGTAATCATAGGAAAAAAGAAAAATTTATTGTACTCCAACTAATGAGTAGTGCTGTACAAGCCACAGGGATCGATCGTTGTTTTCATATTTCACTATTCTTTTGTTTGATCAAACATAATTCACTGTGTTTGGACCACGTCAGACATATAAAAGGATTACTTATGCACATCACCTCAAAAACAGAGGAGAATAGCCCTGAAGCACACAGTATAAGGTAAGAGATGACAGCTGTCTGTGCTATCTGGGGCTGCTTATTGATCATAAATGTATTGTTTTCACTTCTGCGCCATGGAAACAGCGCGATTCATTCGGCAACTATTTTATATGTGAATATAATTCAGTTAAAAGAATGCTAGAACCGTATAAGCACCGGCAAGAGCTTTCAATTGAGCTACAACTTGTACATGTGTCATATGAAAAATATGAAAATGAACCAATGTAAAATACCCAGCTTGGGTATCCAAAATATTGTGTATTTAAGTGTAAATAACGTTTGTACAGTAGAATAAAAACCAAAGCGATGCATATGTGCATAAAATATAGATTCTACACTTTCAAACGAAACCACTTACGGGGGACTGGTGCAATGCTAGCCCTTTAAATCTTAGCGAAAGCAGAGTTTAAGTGGTTAAAGAAGCCTTTCCTTAATAAAACTGAAAGTCAATTTTATGCAAATATATTTGTTTCACCATCATAAGTGAACCGTATTGAAATAAAAGCCCATGTCCTGCCCTTGAACGCTCTGAGGACCCAAAAACAGCTCCTTTCACCTCTTGCTGGAGCTGTAAGTGTTTGATGCAAAAGCTCACATTCTTTTCACTGACCCCAGAACTGGGCCGTCTTTGTGCTCACAGGGGCATGCTGGGATACGGACGAGGACAAAAGAGGTTCTGTTCGCACACACACACTCGCTTGATAATGAACTGAGAGTGTGTGAGACGCGCTGCACAAATGCACAAACACTGCCAGCTAAACATTTGCCTTCTGATACGCCTGCTGCTTTACTGGTAACACCAGCGGCTGCAGCTACGGTAAATCAACACACACTGCTGTTCTGTAGGGTGAGATTGCACCTAGACTATTGGGATTTACTGTCATTTAGTTTGTGGGATCACTGAAAAGAATGAGATTCGCTGGATTTACTAATATTTTTATAAAGGTAAGTGGTTGCAAACAATTTATATGGGCTGAATTTAAACAAACAAGTTAAATATATGTTTACCTTCGTTTGTTTATTTAAGTCGAGCTTTTAGTCCAAATATAAAGTGTTTTCAACCACTCACCTTAAAAAAAAAATTAAATTCTCCAGTTACACCTGCAATACAGTTGAAACCAGAAGTTTACATGCACTGTATGAAAAGGGACATAACCATTTTAAAAAAAAGCCAGTTATGTGACTAAACTCTTTCTCTTTTAGGTAAGTTAGTATGATCAAATTTGCTTCTGTTCTGCTTAATAGCAGAATAATGAGATATTTTTTGAGCAATTGTTACAACTTTTCTTGAAAGTCAAGTTTACATACAATAAGATTATTCTACCTCTGAAAAAGCTCAGATGATGGTGTTAAGGTTTTGAAAGTTTCCGATTGGCTAATTGACAACATTTGAGTTAATTGGAGGCACAACTGTAGAATAGTATTTAAGGAAAACCTCAAACACACTGCTTCCTTGTGTGACAACATGGGAAAATCAACAAGCCAGAATAAACAACAAAGCCAGAATACAATTTGCTAAATTACACTGGGAAAAAGACTAATATTTGAAAACATGTCCGGTGGTCTGATGGAGCTAAGATTGAACTGTTCGGCCATAATGAACAGTGTTACATTTGGAGGACAAAGGGGAAAGCTTACAAGCCTAGGATCACCATCCCAACTGTGAAGTATGGGGGCGGCAGCATCATGTTGTGGAGCTGTTTTGCTGCAGGAGGGACTGGCCCACTTCACATCATAGATGGCATCATGAAGAAAGACCATTATGTAGAAATACAGAAGCAACATCTCAAGACATCAGCCAGGAAATTAAAACTTGGCCACAAATGGGTCTGTCAAACAGACCATGACTCTAAGCATACTGCCAAATTAGTTAAAATGTGCTTTAAGGACAACAGAGTGAATGTTTTTTTAGTGGCCATCACAAAGCCCTGATCTCAATCCTATAGAAAATTTGTGGGCAGAGTTGAAAAAGCTTGTGCGAGCAAGACAGCCAACAAATCTGACTCAGTTACACCAATTCTGTCAGGAGGAATGGGGCAAAATTCCTTCAAACTATAGTGAGAAGCTTGTGGAAGGATACCCAAAACATTTGACCAAAGTTATAAAGTTCAATAGCAAAGCTAAAAAATACTAAGGAAATGTGTGTTAACTTTTGACTGTCTAGAAATTAATAAAAAATTATCAAAAAAATAAAATAAAATCCTCGCAATATATCCTCGCATTTAACAAATCATTTAGGTAATCCTAACGGACCTAAAACATTAAACATTCATTCATTCATTTTCTTGTCGGCTTAGTCCCTTTATTAATCCGGGGTCACCACAGCGGAATGAACCCCCAACTTATCCAGCAAGATTTTACGCAGCGGATGCCCTTTCAGCCGCAACCCATCTCTGGGAAAACATTAAACATTTAGTATGATTTAACTTAAACTTCTGGTTTCAACTGTATGTGCTTTGGGTTTATTGTTTAAAATTGGTCATTACCAGGTTATCAAACTAAAATAATTGATGTGTGTCTTGTTATTGCAAGGTGCGTGATAGCACTCTATTGGAAGTCCATCCATTGACCACTGGCTGAAACAAATGACAGACCACATTGCACTGGAAAGAATCATCTACAGTATAAAAGGCAAATTAAAGGCGTACCATAAAATTTGGGATCTGTTTATGCAATTTTTGGAACCATATAATGGCACAAGCAAATACCTCCCATGCTACTAGTTAATTATTTGATATGTGTATAATTGTACACTGTAAAAAATTACGTCTGGCCACAGTAAATATGGCTCTTTAAAATAAACAGATTTCACTTAAAAAGTTTTGGACATTGCTTAATTTTAAACTACACTGGTTACATAAAATACTGATTTCACTGTTTACTTTATTTAATAAAGATAAACAATTAGCAATTTTTAGTAAAGTTAATTGGTTGAACAATTGTTTCTATTAAAGCAGTATATCTCTGACCATTTTTACAGTTTTTTGAACAGCTAAAATGTTTTAAGAAACGTTTTAAGATGCATTTGTCTAATAAAGAAGTACTTCACTTTAACCCTGTTATCTGTTGTTTCTTCCACCTTTTGTAATGTATAGCTAGTTATCCGATAAGTGACTTGGTATTTTAAAGTTAAAGAACTAAACATTTTCTATTAAAATGAACGATTTTATAAATGGGTAAACAGAACTTTAATGGTAGAAATAACTTACATTTGTAAACAAAAACTGCCAAAAATATTGTTACACCAACCAATAAATCTAAGCAAAAAACGTTTGCTAGGATACTCAAAAAATTAAGCATCACCAACTAATGATTTTTAGGTAATACTGCTTTAAATTTAATGTGAAAATTGCTTAAAAAGAGGTTTGCAAAAATGATGCACTTTATTCTTAAGTAAATTAAGCATATTATTGTTTCCAGTGTATGTTGAATACAGTATATGCTTGTATTTGCCTATAACAATACATTCACCTGTTCAACTGAATCTGGATGCTTTTGGGGAGGGGGGGGGGGGTGTTAAAATGTTAAAAAGTGTTTTTTCATGTTAAATTTCAAGTGTTTTGTCTACAATAAAAAAATGTAAATAAAAAAAGTAAATACAATATACTTTTTCAGTGATGTAGGTGTTCAGTCTAGAAACAAAAACAGCTTTTATATGCATTATTATTTATTTACTTATTTAACCTAGAATGCCCCATTGAGATACAATATCTCTTCCACCAGGGAGTCCTGGCCAAGACAGGCAGCATAGAGTTACAAAAAGAAAAATAAATAATGCATATTATGACACACACACACACACACACACACACACACACAACACACAAATAAAGCAGAAAATAATCTAAATTGACAGACTTTAAAATATTTTAAACATAGCGATAGACGGTGCAGATTTCATATGCAGTATATCTTTGAGGCTCATTCCATACGAAGCATCCTTAGTTAATAGAATCTAA